TTTTCAATCGAGAATAACTTTATGATGCAGACACAAATCGACTAATGTTTCTATGGGGTTATGTTGACAGATGCCCAAGTTTATTGTATGACGTCTATGATCTATTTATTTCGACCACCACTTACCGCTAAAGCCATCTATAGGAAAACGGCGGAAGCAAAGGTGTACACCTAATAGAATAAAAGAACATCGATTTGATATTAAGATGTAAAAGAACAGGGTCTCCAGTAATTTCTGACCATCGTACTAGTTTTAATCATGAATTTAATTGGAAAGATGTCGAAATTTTAGATAAGCCTTGCTATAAAAAAAGAATTATTTTTGAAATGATCCACATTAAAAAATAAAAGTATAGTTTGAATAGAAAACAAACAGATATCGATCTTTTGCCTAACGTATATCTACTCCTTTTACAATCTCTTCCTTTACATCGTTGAATTCCCCTTTCTATGTCATTTCCATTACCGCTTCCCTTGTTAGATGATAGGATTTTTTCAATGATCGAATGTTTTTTCAATGAATTCTAGCATTACATCTCAGAATTCTACAGTATTAAGATCCGTTTGATATCTTTGAATTATATAAGTACATATTGTACTCAAGTTTTTAATTAATTTGAACGATCTAACATTAATCTGCAGGTATTTACTTGTTAGTTTTTGTGTACCTTTTAATAATTGACTTTCGATTTATGTAATATATAATATAGTGGTATAATGTTACAATAATTATTCATTATGATATTATGTTATTGATGATGCAATATTTTTGTTAATTAAAAGGAACATGAAGCGTTTTTACATCTTATTCTACATTGAATTCACTGAATAACCTAGTGTAACATTTATTTATGTATAAGAAGTTAACCGTATTATATAATATCACATGCGATTATTAGGTGATGTTTGTATTCGATTAACATCAAATTCCGATGGTCATGCTGCTTTGTATCTAGGCCTTTATCTACAATTATTCCATTTATCAATATGCGAGATATCATATGCTCATCATAATTTAATGATTTAACATCATGCATTGTTACCGGTAACTTTTTAAATTTATTGAACATTGAAAATAACCCAATATCGGGTCGAAACGTCTGTTTGAGTTTTTAGATTGTTTATAATATTATTACTCATATAACATCCTGAGTGGTTTTTAGTCCTA